AACCGAGATCACGCCACTGCACTCCAGCCTGGGTGATAGCACGAGACTCCATCTCAAAAATAAATAAATAATAAAATAAAAATAAAATAAATAAATAAATAAAATAGAAAGGATGACACTTTTGCTTAGTGGTTAAATAGGCATCAGGACACATCACTCAGAGGCTTGACAAATCAGGGGCAAAATCACCAATTGCTCAGTGTCCATTTAACGAGTATATCCTGAGCCAACATGGCTCCTGCACACAAGGACTTTAAGATGATAAGAGGGAACATGTCAGTTAAATAGCTATGTAAGGCAGTGCAGTATTATAGTATATAGTAGGCTGGGTACAATATACCTCATAAGGTTGTTGTGATTAAATGAGACAATGGCTATAGTTTTCACTGTGCCTAACACATAGTAAGGCACTTAAAAAAAATTTGCAGCCAGGAGCAGTGACTCACACCAATAATCCCAGCACTTTTGGAGGCTGAGGTGGGTGGATTGCTTGAGCCCAGGAGTTCAAAACCAGCCTGGGTGACATGGTGAAACCCCCATCTCTCCCAAAAAAAAAAAAAAAAAAAAATTAGTTGGGCACAGGGTGTGTGCCTGTAGTCCCAGCTACTGGGGAGGCTGAGGTGGGACAATTAAGGAATCCTCAGGCCCAGGAGACGGAAATGTAGTGAGTCAAAGTCGAGACACTGCATTCTAGCTTAGGTGAAGGGAGTGAAACCCTGTCTCAAAAAAAAAAAAAAAAAAAAGTCCAGATGCGGTGGCTCACACCTGTAATCCCAGCACTTTGGGAGGCTGAGGTGGGTGGATCACGAGGTCAGGAGTTCGAGACCAGCCTGGCCAATATGGTGAAACTCTGTCTCCACTAAAAATACAAAAATTAGCTGGGCATAGTGGCACATGGGCAGAGGTTGCAGTGAGCTGGGATTGTGCCACTGCACTCCAGCATGGGTGACAGAGCACACTCTGCCTCAAAAAAAAAAAATTTCTTTTTTGCAAGGCTGTGTAGGACATACCATGTATAGAATTATATAAATTAGGAATGTTTTGGATGCAAGTACCAAAAATATCTAACAAGGCCTTACACAGAGGTTATTTTTTTCCCATATAAGATGCCCAGAGAGGCCAGGCATGGTGGCTCATGCCTGTAATCCCAGCACTTTCCCAGGCCAAAGTGGGTGGATCACCCGAGGTCAGGAGTTCAAGACCAACTTGGCCAACATGGTGAAACACTGTCTCTACTTGAAATACAAAAATCGGCGAGGCGCGGTGACTCATGCCTGTAATCCCAGCACTGTGGGAGGCTGAGGCAGGTGGATCACTGAGGTCAGGAGTTCGAGACCAGCCTGACCAACATGGTGAAATCTCATCTCTACTAAAAATGCAAAAATTAGGCCGGGCACGGTGGCTCACTACTGTAATCGCAGCCTTTGGGAGGCCAAGGCAGGCAGATCACCTGAGGTCAGGAGTTCGAGACCAGCCTGATCAATATGGAGAAACCCTGTCTCTATTAAAAATGCAAAATTAGCTGGGTGTGGTAGCGCATGCCTGTAATCACAGCTACTGAGGAGGCTGGGGCAGGAGAATCGCTTGAACTTGGGAGGCAGAGGTTGCAGTGAGCCGTGATCATACCATTGCACTTCAGCCTGGGCAACAAGAGATAAACTCCATCTCAAAAAAAAAAAAAGAAAAGAAAAGAAAAGAAAAAAAATAAGCTGGGCGTGGTTGCAGCCACCTGTAATCTCAGCTACTAGGGAGGCTGAAGCAGGAGAATCGCTTGAACCTGGGAGGTGGAGGTTGCAGTGAGCCAAGATCATGCCATTGCACTCCAGCTTGGGCAACAAGAGATAAACTCCGTCTCAAAAAAAGAAAAGAAAAAAAAAAATTAGCCAGGAGTGGTGGCATATGCCTGTAATCCCAGCTACTTGGGAGGCTGAGGCATGAGAATTACTTGAACCCTTGAGGCAGAGGTTGTGGTGAGCAGAGATTGCACCACTGCACTCCTGGCTGGGAGACACAGCAAGACTGTCACACACACACACACGCACGCACGCACACACACACACGCACACGCACACACACACACACACGCACATACACACGCACACACGCACGCACACGCACACACGCACACACACACACACGCACACACACGCACACACACGCACATGCACACACGCGCACACACACACACACACGCGCACACGCACACACACACACGCACGCGCACACACACACGCACGCGCACACACACACACACACGCACACACGCACAGAAAAAAGAAAAAGAAAAAAAGAGTTGTCTGCTAAGAAAAATTAGAAAATGGAATTCTAGTTAAGCAAATCCTTAACTGGAGAAAACACATGAAAGTGTCTGTTCATCTCCCAGGGAAATAACTGCTGGGTTTAGTCATAATATGTGACAACTGTTGTTTGTCTTTGCAGAGTTCAGCACATCTTGGGGAATCTTTGTATGCAGCTTGTTTTGGGTATTCCATTGGAAATGGTCCACAAAGGCCTCCGTGTGGGGCTGGTGTACCTGGCAGGAGTGATTGCAGGTCAGTGTTCTGAGGTAACACAGAATCAATACCTCTGGGCTCTCAGGATTACAAGCAAAGGACGACACACTTATAGTAGGCTTCTTTAAGTCAGGATTTATTGCACTCCTCATATGTGCTAGGAACACACTAAGCCTTAGAGATCATTGAATTAGAGATACTATCGGCAAGCAAAGACAAGTCATTGTGCCTGTCCTCAGGTATCTCACACTAAACACAGGGTTTTGCATAATTCAAATTGCAAGTATGCCAGGTGCTCCTGCCTGTAATCCCAGCACTTTGGGAGGCTGAGGAGGGTGGATCACTTGAGGCCACGAGTTCGAGACCAGCCTGGCCAATATGGTGAAACCCTGTCTCTACCAAAAATACAAAAATTAGCTGGGCGTGGTGGCTCACTCCTGTAATCCCAGCTACTCAGGGGGCTGAGGCACCAGAATCGCTTGAACCTAGCGGGTGGAGATTACAGTGAGCCAAGATTGTGCCACCGCACTCCACACTCCAGCCTGGGCAACAGAGCGAGACTCTGTCTCAAAAAGAAAAAAAAAAGAAAAAGAATAAAGAAAACTGCAAGTAGTTTGGTGTATAGGTACGTATTTGAGTAAAGGCCTAAAGCCAGATCATGAAGGCCCTTATATGTCAGACTAATGGTTTTGAGAAGAAGCATGATCAGATTTGCATTTAAGAAAGACAACTTTAAGAGAATGTAGAGAATAACCAAAGGGGCTCTAAGACTGGGTAGGTACAAGCAGCATATGTTAGTGATCTCTAAAACTGGGTGTGCCTAAGATGATCCATTATGGCATGGGAAGAAAATATTAGAACTCCCATCCATCCATTTGTTTATTTATTGGAAGCATTTTTTAAATTAAACTTTTAATTTTGAGATAATTATAGATTTACATGCAGTTGTTAGAAATAATGCCTAAAGGTCTTATGTACCCTTTAAACCAGCGATCCTCAATGGTGACATCTTGCAAAACATTAGTACTGTATCACAACTAGGACACCCACGTTGATATAGTCAGGGTACAAAACATTTTCAAACCATATGGATCCCTCATGATGTCTTTTTATAGCTATACCGTTTTCTGTCCCACCCTCCTTTACCTCTGGCAACTACGAATCTGTTCTCCATTTCTATAATTTTGTCATCTGAAGAATATTGTATAAATGGAATAATCCAGTATATACCCTTGAGGGATTGATTTTCTTCACTCAGCATAATTCTCCGGGGATTCATCTCGGTTGTTGTATATGTCAATAGTTTATTGCTTTTTATTGCCCAGTATTTATTCCATAAAATGGGTATAGCATCGCTTGTTTAACCATTCACTCAATGAAGGTCATCTGCGTTGTTTGCAGCTTTTGGCTATTAGGAATGACACCACTCTAAACACCTGTGTATACGTTTTTATGAACATAAGTATGGGGTTTTGTGAACAGAGTTTTCATTCTCTAAGATAAATGTCCAAAGGCATAGTTGTTGGATCACATGATAGTGGCATATTTTATTTTTAAATTTTATTTTATTTTATTTATTTATTTTGAGATAAGAGTCTCGCCCTGTCACCCAGGCTGGAGTGCAATGGCGTGCTCTCGGCTCACTGCAACCTCCACTTCCCAGATTCAAACGATTCTCCCGCCTCAGCCTCCCGAGTAGCTGGGATTACAGGTGCCCGCCACCACACCCAGCTAACTTTTGTATTTTTAGTAGAGATGAGGTTTCATCATGTTGGCCAGGCTAGTCTCGAACTCCTGACCTTGTGATCCACCCACCTCGGCCTCCCAAAGTGCTGGGATTACAGGTGAATTTTTAAAGAGAATTCTTTAGATAGTAAACATTTAAAGAATATTTTCTAGAATGTCTCTCCCATTTTACATTCACCCTAGCAATGCCTAAATAATTCACATTCAGCATTTGATGTCATGATTTGTTATTTTACCTGTGTTCGTGATCTGGAAGGGGGGAAGGGAAGTGCTGGGTAGAGGAGGGCATAGTGCCTGGCTAGGGCTCCACCTCCAGGCCTGTGCCCACGGACCTACATGAGGACAGACATTTTTGTTTTCCTGCCCAAATGTTGCACTCCCCAATACCACCCTGACTTGCCATGCACCCATCCTGTGCCTATAAAAACCCTGAGACCCTAGCTGGCAGACACACAAGTGGCTGGATGTGGAGAGGAACACATCGGCAGAAGATGACAGGACAGATGCCAGCAGGCCAGCAGGCCACTGACCAGCAGAAGGATGCGGAGTTTGGCTGGGGCAGTCAGAGGAGATCCCGGGCTGCCAAGTGGCCTGACTCCAGGGGAAAACCATCTCCCTTCTGGCTCCCCCATCTGCTGAGAGCTGCTTCCACTCAATAAAACCTTGCACTCATTCTCCAAGCCCACGTGTGATCCATCCAATTCTTCCTGTACACCAAGGCAAGAACCCTGGGATTACAGAAAGCTCTCTGACCTGGAAATAAGGCAGAAGTAAACTGAGCTGACTAACAGAAGCCACCTACGGACGCCTAAACTAAAAGAGTACCCTGTAACATGTGCCCACTGGGGCTTCAGCTGTAAATTCAACCCTAGACACTGCCATGGGGTCAGAGCCCCACAGCCTGCCCATCTGAATACTCCCCCAGAGGTCTGAGCAGCGGGGCACTGAAGAAGCGAACCACACCCCCATCGCACACCCTGCAAGGAGAACGAGGGAACTTTTCCCATTTCACTCCTAAGTGGGTAGTGATATCTGATCATGGTCTTTTTTTGGTTTGTTTATTTTGAGACAGAGTTTCACTCTTGTTGCCCAGGCTGGAGTGCAGTGGTGCGATCTCAGCTCACAGCAACCTCCACCTTCCGGGTTCAAGTGATTCTCCTGCCTCAGCCTCCCGAGTAGCTGGGATTACTCGTGCACCATCACACCTGGCTAATTTTGTATTTTTAGTAGAGACGAGGTTTGTCCATGTTGGTCAGGCTGGTCTCAAACTCCTGACCTCAGGTGATCCGTCTGCCTTGGCCTCCCAAAGTGCTGGGATTACAGGCGTGAGCCACTGCGCCCAGCTGATCATGGTCTTAATTTGCATTTCCTAATGGCTAATGATGTTGAATATCTTTTTTTTTTTTTTTTCAAATTTGGAGGGACATTCTGAGAGGCATTGTTGAATATCTTTTTATGTGCTTATCTGTCATCTGTCTATCTTCTTTAGTGAAATGTCTCTTCATGTTTTTTGCCCATTTTCTTACATTTTTTAACTGTTGAATTGTGAGGGTTGTGTGTATATTCTAGATGCTAGCCCTTAGATGAATATGTAGTTTATAAATATTTTCACCCAGTCTGTAGCTTGTCTTTTTATCCTCTTACCAAGGTCTTTCAGAGAACATGAATTTTAAATTTTCATGAAGTCTAACATCAATTTTTCCATTTATGAATGGTGCTTTTGGGGTTATGTCTTACAAACTTTTCACTGAACCTTAAGTCCTGAAGATTTTTTCCAATGTTATCTTCTAAAAGTTATAGTTTTATGCTTTACATTTATTTATTTGTTTGTTCACTTTTAGAGACAGGGTCTCACTTGGTTGCCTAGGCTGGAATGCAGTGGCACCATCGTAGGTTACTGCAGCCTGCGGCCTCGAACTCCTGTGCTCAAGTGATCCTCCGGCTTTGGCCTCCTAAAGTGTTGGGATTACAGGAATGAGCCACTGCACCAGGCCTTATGCTTTACTTTTTTTTTCTTTGATTTTATTTATTTATTTATTTTGAGACAGAGTTCCGCTCTTGTCACCCAGGCTGGAGTGCAATAGCGTGATCTCGGCTCACTACAACCTTCACCTCCCAGGTTCAAGCAATTCTCCAGCCTCAGCCTCCTGAGTAGCTGGGATTACAGGTGCCCACCAATACGCCTGGCTAATTTTTGTATTTTTAGTGGAGACGGGGTTTTGCCATGTTGGCCAGGCTAGTCTCAAACTCCTGACCTCAGGTAATCTGCCCGCCTTGGCCTCCCAAAGTGCTGGGATTATAGGCGTGAGCGACCATGCCTGGCCTTTACTTTTAAATATGCAACCCATTTTGAGTTTGAGGTCTGTTTTGTTTGTTTGGCCTGAAGATATCCAGTTACGCTAGAACAATTCCTTGAAAGGACTTTTTCCTCCTTCACTGAATTGCTTTTGCACCATTATAAAAAAATCAGTTGCCTGTAGTTATGTGGGGGCTATTCTGGGTTCTTTTTATTCTATCAGTCTCTATGTCTATCCCTCCACCAAAACTACATAGGCTTGCTTACTGTAGCTATATAATAAGTTTTGAAATGAGAATGATTCCTCCCACTTTATTCTTTAATTCCTTTGCCTTTCCATATAAGCATTAGAATAATTCTGTTTATAGCTATAGAAATTCTTGTTGGAATTTTGATAGGAGTTGCCTTAAATCTGTACATCAATTTGGGGAGAACTGATATATTTTCTATATTGAGTGTTTCAATCTATGAAGAGTGTCTTTTATTTATATCTCCTAAATGGTGTTGTATTTTAAATTTCAGTGTCCATATGTTTATTGCTAGTATACAGAAACACAATTGATTTGTGCATATTATTCTTTTTGTTTTTTTGAGATGGAGTCTCACTCTGTTGGCCAGGCTGGAGTGCAGTGGCGCGATCTCCGCTCACTGCAAGCTCTGCCTCCCAGGATCACGCCATTCTCCTGCCTCAGCCTCCCGAGTAGCTGGGACTACAGGCACCTGCCACCACGCCTGGCTAATTTTTTGTAGTTTTAGTAGAGACAGGGTTTCACCGTGTTAGCCAGGATGGTCTTGATCTCCTGACCCGTGATCCGCCCACCTCGGCCTCCCAAAGTGTTGGGATTATAGGCATGAGCCACCACACCCGGCCTGTGCATGTTATTTCTTATACCTTGCAACCTTGCTGAACTCACTTAGTAGTAGGGTTTTTGTTTTGTTTTAGATTCCTTGGGATTTTTCATGTCATCTGCAAATCATCATGTCATCTATAAATAGG